GTATATATGGACCCTCTTGGTAAGTTTACGAGTTCCTTTGTGGGGTCCTGGCAGCACGGAATCCTACATGGCTAAACCCTAAACCTTCACATCCCTAAACCGTGACCCGTAAACCCTTAACCATGAACCCTGAACCCCAAACCCCAAACCATAAACTCTTGCGCCATGAGGCCTTGAGGCCAAAGCTGGGAGGGAGGACTTGCTAAGACTGCGAGGATATGAACAACTTGCAGATAGACAGAGTATTAAGTCTTCGCCATAGACCGGCCTCAAAACTTAGCTACTTAGTACGTTTTATCGGGTCTGGGGCTATACTCCAGTATAACTATATCGAGGGACCCGAAGGAGTAATGTCACGAGATATATAAGCTCTCCTACTAGGGGCTATGGGTGTAGGAACCTTGTGATGACATGGGACGATTTAGGGCTCGATGTGCGCATCTCTTTGTTATTCCAATACCCGAAACTTTGGTGTCTCTGACTTTTCGAAACTCCAAGACCCTATTACTCTCTTTGGACCCTGCATAAATATCGTCGTTAAAACCACATGAACCCTTTAACCCTAAAGCCCTCAAGGCCCAATGCTAGCATACTGTATTCAAACCATTACTTTCTTACTTCCCCAAGAAGCCACAGAAACAAAACGTTAAACTTGCCGATCACTACTAAACTACAAGAGCCCAAAAAGCTTAAAGGTTGGGTATTAGGGAACTCAGCTTTAGCCCGATAAGCCCACAGTTCTCATACTGAATCAAAGGATGCAGGAAAAGGGCAGCGGCGCGGCGTGTCTATTGCCGAAGCGCAGCTCAATGGGTATAGGCCCACCTCGACACATGATAGGTTTGGGGGCTTAGGGTTTGGGCTGCAGGAGTTTAGGTGCGCAAGGAATGAGGGTTCAGGGTTTTAGTGTCCGTGTACTCAAATAGAAAATACTTTGGCCTCCAAGTAGTCCCTATTTAACTACTTCAGGGCCAAAGTATATGATATTTGGGTACATGGACGCCTGGGAACATCACATGTTCAGCCTCGTTCAGGGATTTCGGCTTGCGGGTCTTACTCAATTGGCAATTTTTGCGGGGCTTTCCTAAACCCGAAACCCTTTGAATGACACGATTACTTGCAATGGGGAAAACCGCGATGCAGGAACTGTAGATTGGTGTTCCGCATGTTCCGAAACTCCACACAGCACTTAGAGCGTGGTCTTTTGATCACACGCGGGCAGATCATCCGACACTGGCCATGCTTGGAGGATCGTGGGACTTAGTAAGTATGGTCATGAGTACCTT